TTTAATTCAGTTTTCATTTGAAAACAAGCTCTCTAAGAGCTGCAGAAAAGCAGCCTCCAACCTTTAAGAAGGGTCCACAATCCTGATGTATCTTACATTTTAAGAAAAGATGGTCTTACAGGCTAAGACTAGGTGGAATTTCAGGCCTCTTGAAAGATGGAGGAGGATGTGGCATCACAAGTAATGTGATCCTCACCCAACTTCCACACACTGGTATGATCAGTGCAATGAGCCTGTCTCTCGCTCCTTCCTAAATAAATTGATAAACAAACAGTACATTCAATATAGTACCTTTTTACACTGGGAGAAAGTCTTGAGGTGCTTCACAGAATATACCGCGAAGTGTAGTGACTTTGTACGTTATGTACTTCAAATTGCACTTAAAGACGTTCCTCTTCGACAATGCCTAAGGTCACCTCCCTTTTCTCCCCATCTGGCATCAAACTCTGCCATCGTTTAGCACTCCGAGCCACCACCCCGCGGGAAGAGCGCTATATAAAGGCAAGTTGTTGTACTTCCCAGCCCTGAGATGGTTAGGACAACCCCACCACAGAGATTAACTAACTCAGTACAGTACAATGATCAAACCTGAGAGCCTCCTGGTACATGGCTATCACCAACCTGGACAATGGAGTCACGTGAGGGAGATTTGCAGATTTAAAGCCTGTGCTTTTGCAGAGAGCACCCAAATCCCTGCACATGTAAATAACCTGAATTGAGAAATGCAGAGGGGCACTCGAACTTCAGAGTTTGCATTTTTATACCTCACTGAAATGTCTGAAAGCACTTCACAATTGCAGTCAAGAGCAGGGGTCAATTTTGCAGGCATCCTTGCAAGTAAGGTTCCCCCATCCATTGCTGCCAATTGTTCATCATTGAAATATGAAAGATATCCAAGTGAAGTTCACTTAGAGCTCAAATACTGAAGTTTCCATCAAACAGCCCCAAACACTCTCGACTAGGCCAAAGAGAATCTTAGTGATACAGCATAATAACAGCGTGAAATAATGAAGGGACACCATACTAATAAGACAAAATGATCAGAGGAAGGTGCTAGTATTGTATATTGTCAAATAAGGTACTTAAACCTGTATGATGGTTTAGAGATAGACAAAGGGGGTGTAAGATAGCGATTTCCGGCAAATGCTTTAACCAAAGCACATCACTCAGACGTGGAACGCCACCCGAAGGTTTATTGTGCCGGAACAATGGAATATTTCAGAATTGGTCATTTATGTTGGGGTGATGCTTTCCAGATTTTTTTTATTTAATTGGTTTCGTGATCCATCAAGCGAGGGATGTCAGGTCTGAAGGATGAACCATTTCTAATTATCGCCAGCCTCAAGCATATCTTGACCCAGACAACATGTCATCCCAAACCTCAGGAGAACACTTCTTCTGCACCAGTGATCTAATTTTGTCACCTCCCATACCAGACAGCCAGAATACTAATCTAGTCACTTTTCTTCAACAGTGTTGTGATGGTGTTCAGGTCCCATCAGAAAGAGGATTGAAACACACCACAAATCCACTTGGTTTAAGGCCCTTTACGGCTGTCTGAGATGGGAGATTTTCATCCCATCATCTCAGAATAAAATCAGACTTGAAGGGAAACAGGACTAATTGACTTCTGCTACCTCGCCTGCATTTAAAGAATTTCTGATGTTCACATTGCAATAATATCATGGTTCTTCGGACTTCAAAAAATGACAATATCAATGAACTATCAAATATCAATAGATATCATCAATCCCATTTTTTGATTGCAGTGGTGTCAAGGGCCACTTCAGTGAAACTTGGTGTCTTTATCCCAGGCTTATATTCCTATACCAAATATGACTCCAAATTCAAATGAATGAATTTACGAGAAGTTGCTGGCACAGATTGTGTTTGCCTGTGCATCATTCACTTTCAATTCTGTTATATTTTGTAAAGAGCTCGAGAAATGTATTTTTACAGGAAAGGTGCTAGTTGCAAATTATTATTAATAAACTGTTTCCATTACCCAACATAGAGTTGTCAGTCAGACAGCTGGAGCTCAGAAAACATTTTTTCACATGAAGTAGCTGTGAAAATATGGAATGTACCACCACACATGGTCATAGAGGTAGAACTGGGATCTTTAAAAGGGAGGTCGATAGGTACCTGAGAGGCATAATGATATTAAGGGGTACAGAGAAAAGGCAGGGAAATGGGATTAAAAGATCTGACATGAATATTATCTAAATAGGCAGAACAGGCTTAATGGCTTCCTTTTGCTCTTACGTTGCTGCAAAGACTCAATATCTCAATATAATAATTATTATATTATATAATATCTCCTCCAACCCTCTGCTTTGGCCCCTCCTTCTCCATTTTCAGATCACTCCTGAAGACCTTCCTCTTCGACGCGCTTACAGTCACCTCCCTCCACCCACCTAGCTTGGCTTCAGGCTCCGCCACTGTTAAGCGCTCCGAGACACTACTCTGCGTGAATGGCGCAATATAAATGCAAATTGTTGTTGTTGTAGAAGACACACTCATGGTCAGAGGAGCAGGAGTGATCACCAGACAGCTAACAAGGCATCTTGCATATTGTGATGTTTCACTCCCCAAATAATGCAATGTTTTAATCGTGGAAAATGATATTTGATTGTGTGAAGTGATTAAGGAGCATAATTATACTGCACCTCTACAGTGTTGTGATCGACAATGATTCATCATGTGCAATCATCAGGCTCTTGTTGTTCCATTAGCTTAGTGATTCATTGAATGGGCACATTCGCTGTTTGCATCACGACCCAGAAAAGTGATAATGGGAGGAATCCAACACTTTATAATAATCATTACGTTTAGTCCAGCATCTTTCACATTGGGAGGGGGACTTGAAGTGCTTCTTCACAGGATATGCTGTAAAGTATTGTGATTTATGTGCGAGATGTGACATTGAGCTCATCTCAGCAGTCAGAGGCACCAACCACTGCCTGGAAAATGGAGCCAGGCATTATCACTACTACTAATAATAATAATAACCCTTGCATCTGATATAGCACCTTATCATGTCATTGAGATGTCTCAAAGCGCTTCACAGAATATACTGTAAAGTGAATTGACTGTATATTTTGTGGGCGAAACGTGGCAGTCAATTGCACACAGCAGTGTCCCACAAACAGTCGTGGATTAAGTAACCAAATTATTATTAATAATAATACAAATTATTATTACCGCATCAATTACCACCATTGATTGGTATCATATCGATTCATCCCCATAACTGGATTCCCATCTCCCTGTACTCAGTGAGTCGTTGTGCTCCCCAATACTCAGGGAGGCGACCGTCCGTCCCAGTCATTGAGTTACTACGCCCTGAAACTCTGGAACCCTCTTCCTCAATCCCTCCGCCTTGCCCCCTCTTTGCCCACTTTCAGGTCACGCCTGAAGTGAAGACCTTCCTCTTCGGCCGAGTTCATGGTCACCACCACCAACCCCCCCACACCACCCACGTGTTCATGCTCCGCCACTGTAAAGTGCTCAGGGACACTACCCATGTACGCAAATAAATGCAAGTTGTTATTTAAATGGAGAGGGAGGTGGGGAAGGTTTTTTGGGGGGATTTGGAGAGGGCGCTGTGTATTCACAAAATGAATCATGCTGGAGTCCCAGCTGTAGACTTATTTGAGGAGACAGTTTTATCTCCTGGTTCAATAGTTTCCTAGCTCTCTCTCTCTCTCCTGTCAGCTCCCACTTACTATTATCTACCCAGCCACATCCTCTGCTTTTCAACCTCAGTGATATTTAGCGCAGATTGATGAGATCGACGACAATGAGGAATAGATAGCAGCAGCTTTCAAAGCTATGACACATCCAAGAGTTTACAAAACGTTCTTAAAAAACTGTTATAAACTTCGGAGCAGTTCAACACCACAACAGCTAAGGCCTTTGTTAATCCAACCTCAAGCTATTTTCCCCCACCCACGCACATTCTGTCACTCCATGCTCATGTGTTCATGTCGTTCACTGCATCATCTCAATCTATTTTTTTAGATTCTTATTTCAAGCCGCAAACTATGCACATATGTGGAACGACGTAAATGCAGAATTCGAACTTAGTAATACTGGATCTAAACCGAAAAGATCTTTCTATCTTTGTCAGGTTGTGACGATCAGATAAAGTAATTGCATGACCTTGCTTTTTTTTCTTAGAAATACTATTTCAGCCACCCGTGAATCCATCTCTAAACTTGTTCGGGGGAGTTATCTTGGGACATTTTTAAGGAGTCCACCTCCAGAGCTTTTTGAGAAAAAGTTATGCTCACAAGAAATTATTTCTCGTTGACCGCAAAATAACCGAATGACAACCATTATTTTAAAAGGCAGTTAATTTGCAGGGGTGTGGAGATGAGGCAGGTAGATGGGACTGAATGGATCACCCTTTCAATCCAGCACAGGCACAGTGGGCTGCGCTAGATGGCCTTTTTCTGTGCTACAGGTTTCGGTTGCTCTTTGTCTATGGAAAGAGAATGGGAATACCTGGCTCTCATCCTGCACAAGAGCAGACAATTTCAGAAAGCTCCTAAGTGTGTCGATAAATGCTTCACATTAGCCAAAAGAGAGTCCTGGCATTATTCGCACCAACACCAAAACTAATTCTTATATTAAAACCACTTTTAACCTGGATTCTCCAATGGGAGTTAGTCACAAACTCTTGCCGTTTCAAACAATAGACATCATTTCATAATCATTCTCTCTAAATATCTAACTATCATACCCCAGTGTACGTTTATCAGAGGGTTTAATATTACACAGAATTACACAGAATCTGCAGCACTAAAACAGGTCATTTGGCCCAACTACTTCATGCCAGTGCTTATACTCCACATGTGCTTCCACCATTCTTGTTTGTTATGTTTCCATTAGAAATCCCCACAAGTTAAGACAGTTTAGAATATCTGACAATTGTAAACTTTCTTGTGGCATAACCTAAACTCTTGTTGTTTGTTTGGTTCCTGCTCTCTCTGCAGAGGTCAAGCAGTTTCAAGCACTTTGAACGATCAAAGCCTCCAACATCCCCACTGGTGGCCGACAAGGAATTTGATCTTAATCAAGATGTAAGTCTGACAAACAGCTCAAAAACAGCAAGAATCTCAACATTTGGCCGAGACGTAAAACAGTCACCTGATTTGATGAAACAGTAGGAAAATGTACCTTAATCAGTTATATATATGCAGCAGGATTTTTAAAAAAAGAAATCTTACATTAAAAGCACTCTTATCTTATGTTTATCTAATGTTTTCTTATGTTTATCCTGGATTCTCCAATATATGTCAGTCACAACCTCTTGCAGGAAATTGGGGATAAATTTGCTGGCAAATGGCCAGTGCCAGCACAAAGGTTCCATCTCTCTCTCAAATCGTGGTTATCGACACCTTAAATTTGTTTTTTGCATTCTTTTATTATTGTAAATTCATGCGTCTGCTAATGTATTAAAGAAACATCAAATGCTTTTAAAAAAGTCACAAATTTTATCCCGTTAATTCATCAAGGCTAACAAAGCAATCTAAGTAAGAAAGAAAGTAAGAAAGTCAAAACGTTATTTATTTATTTTTTATTGTTTATTTATTATTGATTTATTTATTCATTCATTCATTCAATATATTATTACTATTATTACCCGCAGCCACAACGAGATAGTTTGGCACAACATGGATCAGAGGGATAATCCTCAGCTACAGTATTGATAAATAAAGCCTCTCTCAGGCTTTGCATTAGTTTCCCCCAAAATTCAGAGCACTGTTAGCCTGTGATGTGAGATTAATATGGAAAGTAAAAACAGTCAAATTGCTTCAAGTATATTCCCTAAACAAAACCATTGTTGGGTTCTTATCCTGGGGGGGGAGGATATAATACCAACAGAACAGCAAATTTCTCATTTAAAAAAGGGGAACTAGTATAGTAAATGATTGCAACATCCACAGCCGACAAGCTCAGTTTCCCAGTCTTTCATCTTTTACTGACCAGCTTGTATGCAAAGCTAAACGAGTGTGGTAACCGGTGCAAACCCCGGGTAAAATATTGTATTTTCCTTCCAGGCAGACTTGACTAACAGCATGGCAACTGGCACAGAGGAGACAAAATCAGGGAGCTCTAAACTGGGGAAGAAATGGCGAGCAGTTATTTCCCGCACTATGAACAGGAGGACTGGTCGAACGATGGCAAAGGCTTTAGCTGAAGAGAGGGTAAGAGCTACTCTATGGAGTCAGCACCTATTGTGGAGTCCTGTAGCAAATTGGTTAGAGCGCTCACCTCGCTAGCAAGAGGACCCGACTTCGATTCCCGGGCAGGATGAAACCTTAGGCAAGTTTCCTTACTCCTCAGTTTACCTAGCAGTAGGCAGGAACCTCATTGTTAGTCAATTTGCGGATCACTTTCTAGGGGTAATAATCCCTTAAAAAAATTTGTCACTCAATCCACAACTATTTGACAGATTATAAATTAATTACACTGCTGTGCGCAGTTGGCTGCCGCATTTCGCCCACAAAATATACATTTTACAATATATTCTGTGAAGTGCTTGTAGATGCCTCAACGACGTGATAAGGTGCTATATAAAACGCAGGGATTATTATTATTAATGTAATATATCTCTCAGTAAATCAAGTCTAATTTGTAACTGTGCTTGCTACTACCGAACCCTTCAGTTAAGGTGAGCAGAATGTTGGTGAAGACAGATAACATGCGGCGTAATTCCCGACACAAATGAAGCTCACCATTTCTTTTCTTCTCCAGTGTGAAAGTGGGGAAGAGGATCCCATGTCCCCAATGACACCTGATGAAGTTCTGCATATTAGGCTGGGAGCGAGGGTCTCACAGTCACCCAGTGAATCAGAGGAGAATCTCCACACTCCAATCAGCAGACAGGCGTCAAGCAGTGAGTATTGGTTAATGGAACGGAACCAACGTTCAGAAAGGATAGGAATGTTGCAAAGCTACTAAACTATCTTTACTCCACATAAATCGGTGAAAAAAAGTCATAGTAAATCTAAGTCTGAAAGTGAAAGTCGTCTGCTCCAACTTTAGTAACGTTCAGCAAAATTAAAACATTGCCGTTGGAATTGGGATCATGAAAAGTCGTCAGAAGATGACACTTAGCACTGAGAGCAAATACTCAGAGGGTAACACAGAAACAGAAGTAGGCCATTCAGCCCCTTAGGGCTGTTCCGCCATTCTACAAGATTTCAATGCTGTACCTGAAATCCAATTACGCATCCTTGCCCTGTATCCTTTAATACCCTGACCTAACAGATAGCTACCCACCCCATTGGAATAGATTGCTAGGAAGAGTGGTTGAGAGCAGGACACTGGACACAGATGATCTAAAGGTGAACAGATCGAAAAGGCTGAAGGGCGTCAACCTTAATCCAGCAAATCTTGCAATCAGTGCGCTCCGTCAAAATATTGTGGTTTTAACCGATCACCTTTGCTCGTGTTTGCTTGACCAGGTGGAGATCCATGCACACCAGACTCGGAACTCAGCAGCAGGGACAGTATGGACAACATGCGTCCTCCATACCTCGGCCCATTCTGTGGTCGTGCCAGGGTCCACACAGACTTCGTGCCAAGTCCATACGACGTTGATTCTTTGAAGCTGAAGGTAAGACAATCTGCTGTAAACGGCAGGATTTTCAGCTCAGTTTCTCATTGTTAAAGAGAACAAAAGAAGTCTCTTTTCGCAAAGAGTGGGGAGGATTCTCTATATCAATCAGTTGTTGGGGAGGCAACCATGTGCACGTTAACAAGCAAAACTGGACACACGGTTAAGAGAAAATAAAATTGAGGGATATGAGGAAAAGGCCGGGTTATTGGACTAAGGTTAGGATCTCGGATAATAATAATAATAATCCTTGCATTTGATATAGTGCTTTTCACGTCGGGAGGACGTCCCAAAGCGCTTCACAGAACACACTGTAAAGTGAATTGACTGTATATTTGTGGGCGAACGCGGCAGCCAATTGCGCACAGCAATGTCCCACAAACAGTCATAGATTGAAAATGACCAATTTATTATTATTTTTTGTTTTGGAGTGCTCATGTGGAGTCTAAACATCAGCTAGACTGGATAATAATAATAATAAATAATAATAATAACAATAATAATAATAATCCGTGCATTTGGTATAGTGCCCTCTCACTTCTCCAAGATGTCTCAAAGGGCTTCACAGATGAGCCAAGTGGCCTGTTTCTAAGCTCTTCCATCGATGAATCAATGAATCTTCAGTAGATGATAGTGGGATTTGTACCTGGCCTCCCGTTGAACGACTCAAAAACACAGAGAAACCAAAAAGGGAAAAGTTTAAATAAGAGACAAGAAGAAGGAATAAAATGGATCTGTGAGAGAAAATCATAGTCAGTGGCTTATTCACCTTACCCACGTACACCATCTCCTATCAGCCTGACTGAAATAAGAGCTCATTACAATTGTGATGAGAATCTTGATGATATCTCTCCAGGTCTTCAAACCTCAAGCAACATTGAGATGCAAAAATCAGGTCAGGTACGCTGGGTTGTTTTTTAATGTAATCAGGACATTAAAGCCCTTTATCACCAGTCGTTTCCCCCACAGTTGTTTTTTTTCCATGGTATCAGAGGAGGTGCTGAATGAGGAGCCAAGCGCTGGCTCAAGCTGAGGAATGCAACAAAGCCCAGAATACAAATTACTCCCTGATAAGGGATCAGGTCTCACCATCATACAGGATGGGGCATGTTAGATATTATCAATAGACCTATACTACCAATAATAATCCTTACATTTGGCATAGTGTCTTTCGTGTCTGGAGGACATCTCAAAGCACTTCATAGGATTTACGGTGAATTGCAGTGACTGTGTGTGTCTTGTAAGTGCTCTGAGATGCCGTCAGGCCTGAAGAGCACTATATAAATGCAAATCGTTATTGTTGAAGTAGGCAGATGTGAAATGCAGGTTGTCTTATACATTGCAAACCCACTCTTGGTGTATCAAAGTGCCGGACATTTTTACATTAGTTTTTACTGCAATGTCTCATTTCTAATGTTGCACCTTTTACCTACACTTTTACTTCTTTTATCGCCAGAAAGGGGATATCATAGACATCATCGAAAAACCACCGGTAGGAACGTGGACTGGGCTGTTAAAGAACAAACAAGGATCTTTTAAGTTTATCTATGTGGACATACTGCCAGAGGAGGAGAAACAGGAGCCCAGGAAATCGAGGATATTCAACAAGAATAAAAGGCCCAAACCCAAGAACTTGCAAGAGTTACTGAACAGGATCAACCTGCAGGTGGGATACTCTTAACTTATAACAATAATAATAAATGATCCTTATAATTGGTACAACACCTTTCACAGCACCAGCATTTTGGAAGGATGAGATCAATGGGTGGGGGAGGATCCCTTTCATCTGAATCTCTTGTGCGATCATATCGCAATAGCCATATATTTCCTCCTCGAGTTATATGTTTCTTGGAAGGGTAACACATAGATATTTCGCAGGTCACACCAGTGGCTGAATCGTGCATTTCCTGTAAGATATTCTGCTGCATATCACACCCCTATGACGTTATTGATTGAGCTGTGGACGTTCTTATAAAAACGTCCTGCTTAGTAACCTGTCCCTAAGCTACTCTGCGGTGAACTGTTCCCTTAGACAGAATGCACGTCCAATCATCAGATTAATCAGTTGTTAAAATTAGCACCGATTTGTTTGAGATGTTTATGGAACAAATTACTCAAAGTGATGTATTCCTGTACTGCTCAATTATCCAAGCAAAGAGGTGGGTATGTTACTGTGGCTGCTTTTTCTGGAACCATCCGTTGCTGTAGAAGTCTGAACCAAAGTGAATAAGAAATTGCCACCGATTTTCTTCCTTATTTCTTCTTCCCCCACACCCCACCCTCACCAGGCAGTACAATGCAGCAACAACAACAACTTGGCCTTCACACGGGGCAGCACGTCTGAGTGCTTCACAGACCAAGGCAATCATTGTGTGGTCAGCAACAAACTACATTCTAGACACGTTCTGTTGCAGCATTCTAGACACAATTGCTTCTTTAAAGCTTTAATTAATGATCGTGTTATCCAAAGTTTAAATTAGCTGAATTTATTATCCGTTTCCCCAAGTGGTTTCAGTATTAGAAATATTGCACACGCATAGTTACAAACACACAGTAAAGCCCACCACAAGGCAGCTAGTTGCACTGAATCGTATGTTTCAGATAGTGTTACCCTGCACCTTGTGCAGAATCTAGCACATTGACACATTAATGCACAATCTGCTGCACTCACAACAGCAAGGAGCATTTTATTTTGTTTTGGGGCAACTGGGTATCTGACACATGCCAAAGAGTATCCAAACCAAACAAAGTTCTACATAAGTAGGCCACCTAATCATGGAAAGTTCCCCTCCGTCAGGATCGGAATGCGTACTCTCTTCCTGGAAGTGCGCACTCCACTTATCCAATTCCAGGAAGTATTAGGCGCAGAATGACAAGAATCAAGGCTTGGGGACCCCAGAGTGTGTATTGGGTTACTGCTGGAATTTAAGCAGCTAAAACCGCGTAGTTTGTTTCAGGAAAGACTTTTTCCGGAGTCTTGAATTCAATTAGTCGCTACAAGAGTGAATGATACAAGCACATTGATAAATGAATGTATTAACTCATTCGGACAAATTAAAATAAAATCTTTGCATTTAAAATAACTTCATCGATACATCTCAGTGCTTGTAAATGCTGTTGCTGTGTATTTTATAGAGACAGAGGGAAGATGGCCAGGGTTAAATAGGGAAGATGAATGAATATCATGCGGTTTTATGATGCGGTCTTTGTGATTCAGGAACTAACCTATAATACTTTCCCCAAGAGATGGAGTGTTAAAGTTAGTTATCAGGGTGACTATGGAAGGAATAGTCCTGACTGATGAAACAGGCTCTTGTTTCGCGCCTGGTTTTACCACATTGTCTAATTTCTCTAAATCCAAGTAATTGCGAGGATTGATGTCCTCTGTAGTGCAGCGCATTGGGATTTACCTTCATCCAGTGCCATTCAAGCCTTAAGCTTCTTTGGATACTGTGTTGATCCACACTGTGCGTTTGTGTTGAAATGTCGGCATTTGTTGCCTCCTTTGCAGGAACACATCTCCACACTGCTACTGAATGGTTACCAAACGCTGGATGATTTTAAAGAGCTGAAAGAGACACATCTGAAAGAACTGAATATCACAGACCCTGAGCAGAGAGCTAAACTGCTGGCTGCTGCTGATCTACTCCTGGACTACGACAGTAAGTTGGCTTCTTGAGCTGTATGTCCATTATCAAAGGGCTGAAGAGAGATATCCACAGAATATTGGTGACAGCTCCTGGTAGAACAATGAACAATTTGGGGTTATATATAACAATAATCCTTGTGATTGATATAGCGCCTTATCATATCATCGCAACGTCTCATAGCGCTTCACAGGGTTTTACTGTAGTTTTAAATGTAGTGACTGTACATTTGCAGCCGAATGCAGCAGCTAATTTGCGCATAGCAATGACCCACAAACAGCCATGAAGTGAATGACAAATTTTATCAGGGGGATTGTTGGTCAGAGGAACTCCCTACTCTTTGAGGAATGCCATGGGATCTTCAATGCCTATATGAACAAGCAAGCGGTGTCTCGAGTTAATGTCTCATCTAAAGGATGCCACCCCTGATAAAGCAGCTCTCCCTTAGCACTGCAAAGCAAAGTCCCAGCGTGAGACACCGAACCGGGTAGCGTCTCAGAGCGCTCGACAGTGGAGGAGCCTTACAACGGACCAGGGGATGCGGGGATGGGGGGGGGGATGGTGATCGTAAGCACAGTCGAAGACGAAGGTTCCTTGTTGCGTATTTCACCCCAATTTGTCTCATCTAGTGCTTGTGTGGTGATCCTCTGTCTGTGTGCACATAGTAACAGCGTTTAACCTTCCAGCTGGCAGTGATACAGAAGAGCAAGGAGAGAGCAGCGGTGTGGATTCCCAGCACTTGAGCTCCAACCCAATGTGTGACATTCCACGGGATTCAGGCTGCTACGAGTGTTCAGAGAACCTGGAGAATGTCCGGGAAGAATCCGAGTCAAACAGCACTGAGGAACAGCCACAGAATGCCCCTTCTGAGAACTAAGCCTGACCCACTTGCAAAGGAGTTTAGACTAGTGCTGACACCTAGTGGCTTAAAGAATCATTGTGGACCATCTCGAAATCTGAAGTAGCATTTCTGCACTAAAGTGCAACCGACAGCAACAGAAGTTTAAAGTACTCGAAGATTGTGAATTGCTCTTTTTGTTTAGTATCCCAAATCCTGCTGCATGGTATTCGGTCGATAAAAATTTAGACAAAGGAATAATTATTGGAAGCGTTAGGTGTGTCCGTGTTGACCATTCCCCACGTTTGTCACCAGGAGGTGCTGTTTCTCTAGATTTACACATTTCTTATAAATTCTTACAACTTTTCACCAGTCCGACATAAGGACCAGGGATGCAGTGAGGTACAGTCACTTGTATGTTCTTTGCAATCTTTTGTGCAATGCAACGTGTAGAGAGAGTGTATTTTGTAGGCAAACGCGGCTGCCAATTTGCGCACAGTAATGTCCCCCAAACAGATGTGAAGTGAATGACCAAGTTGAGTAGCAATTACAGGATCAAACCTCGGTGTTTCTGTAGCTTGGATCTGATAATCACACTGCAGCACTGCTCAGCTTGAACGCGTTCTCTCTTCGCTTCGTTTCAAATGTACGTGTATTATACGCACGCCTAACAGGGAAGCGGCACAATTCTATAGCAGCAAAACATCACACGCTCTCTTAAGGTGTGGCAAGAGAAGGAACGTTAATAATCCTTGCATTTGATACAGCACCTTATCACGTCTTCGAGACGATTCAAAGCGCTTCACAGAATATATTGTAAAGTGAATTGACTATAACATTTTGTGGGCAAAACGCAGCAGCCAATTGCACCCAAACAGTCGATGATTAACTGACCCGATTTTTTTTAAATACAACCCAAACTGAGAAGTTCCCATTACACATTGGATTCTGACACAAGTGGAAGAAAACATTTGAACATTATTGCAACCTGTATCCTCAAATTATTGCTTTACCAAAGGTCTATTGACAATGGATACAGCGGCTGAAATAGGGAAAGCCAGATGTTATTCTCCTGCTTGACTGCTGTGTGTTTCAGTCAGTCAGTCACTCACAACCATTGCTGGTTATCCATCGGTTCAGAGCTAAGCTCATCGAACCCTCCCCTCTGCGCTTGACAGCTGTACATAGAAAGAAGAACTTTTATAGGTTCTCAATTGCCTCAAAGTGAAATTATTATCGAGTGTCGTGGCGTTTTGTAAGCAAACACAGCAACCGTTTCTGTTTTTTAATAATACACACAGCGAGATCCCGCAAAGAAGCATGAGATGAATGACCAATTTATCGTTGGGACTGTTGACCAGGACACGAGGAGAAACTCCATTCTCTTTTCAAATAATGCACCTCAACAGTCCGCCTGAACAGTCCGGCAGGGCTTCAGTGTAACATCATTCGCAGGACACCAACTCAGACAACGCAGTGCACCTTCAGCACCAAGATTTTACTTTTGTGATTTTATGGATGGCTTTTTCCTGAGAAACATCAATAACCCTGAAAGATTTGCATTATTTTTGTCTGTCTTCTTTAACCACTGTCCTTTTCGATGCTCTTTCTGAAGGGTTTTCAAGCCTACTAAAAACGTGGAATTTAGCCAAAATAAGCTCATTTAGTACGAACAGCACAGCACGTCAAAGACTTTCAGTAAGTTCAAATCGCTTCAACACTTAATTTAGCTCCATCTCAGTTGGATTCAGTAATCTAGATCTCAACAGACAATAGGGAAGGGAGGGGGGGGTTTGCTGGAGGAACAAGATCAGATGGGCCAAAGGACCTTCTTCAGCGAACCTTGTGTGATCTTGTGAGTTCCCCTCCTGTTATTGGCACTCATTGGTTAAAAACTGAATGATGTCAACCCGGTAGACGGAAGAGAATTGAAAGCTGATGCTAACTCTTTGGAAGTCTCACCAGAAAGGCAATGAGCAGAGAGGAGCGATGTATCCCATTTGGAGAGTCAGTTAAACACAACAGCCTTTGCTTCGATTCCCTTCATTGGGAATGGGAAGGGCAGAAAGCGAGAGCAGTCAAGAGACAGACAACTCGGGAGCTAATTGGCTTTGTTGCCAGCAGCAGTGTAACGACTTCTAGATCATAAGGCTTTATTCAGGCAAAAATGTGAAATGCCTGCAAGTGGCCCGCTTCTTCCAAGCTCGCTGTGTAGTTACAGGTGTGGAGATGCTGTGAGGAAATAAAGGTCGCAGATCTCGACAAGCAGAGGGAATAGGAGGCTCTCAGCGCATTAAATGCCGCTCAGAGAATTTGGGTCAATTGCAAAAGGAACACAGAAGCCATTTTAAGTTTTTGAGTGTGTCATGGGAGCTGCCTTTATTTTTGAAAGCAGTACTATTTCATTATTTTACTGTTCGTTCTTTTTTTTAATGAATTGTGGGGAAGCGAGAGGTTGTTTCGAATCTTTCATTCAAACTTGCTTGTTTTTTTTGGAACAGAAATTTACACTGTTTTTTTCTTCTACGCAACAAAAAACCACCCATAATTTTGCAGGCGACAATCACGCAGACAGCAAGACACGCCACATACATTTTACGGAACGTTGCGCACTGCTCAGGGACATATTCTTGATACTCTTACAGCGGTTAAATTTTTTTGTACCTGGATTTTCTACTTATAAAAGCAGCAAATTCGAATGTTCTTTGGTTTCGTAGTTAGAAATGTGATAAGCAAATGGCTTTTATATTGGAGTCTACATACCTTAAATAAAATGTTTCTCTGCCTAAATTCGTATTTTCTTCTTTTTAATCTCGTAGTTTAAAAATTACTTCCTCTCCTTTATTTTATTACACACACCATCTGTTTTCCGACTAGTTGTCTCAGAAGGACTGCATCCATCACAGAAAATGCCAGGAATAATATTTGCATTGATACAGTTATTTGTCACCGTTGTCGAAAGGTCTCAAATCACTTCACAGGCGTTTTCTGTGAAGTGTTGTGATTCATGTATGTGGACAAACGAGGCACACAGTTTTTGTGTGCAGCAGTGTCCCACGAACAGCCATTACGTGAGTGATCAATTTTATTTAATCTGGGGGTTTCGTTGGCCAGGACACCAGGAGAAACTCCCTTCACTTTTCAAATAGTGCCATGGGAACTTGATGTCCATCTGAACAGGCAGAATGGACTTCGGTTTAACATACAATACAAAATTACATTTGTATAGTGCCTTTCACGTCAGGGAGGACGTCCCAAGGCGCTGGACAGTCAGAGATTTGGACCAGAGCAGGGGGGGGAGTGGGGGGAGTGGGTTGGGATCAAGGAGGGTGGAGGGGAGGGTGGCCGACGAGGAGGGTCTTGAGACGTGCCTTGAAGGAGGCAAGGGAGAGAGGGAACATCTCATCCAAAGATCAACACCTCCAACAACACAGCACTCCCCCAGCACTGCATTAGTGTCAGCGTAGAATATGCGAGTTCAAAATCACGGTCTGAGACTTGAATCCACAGCCTTCAAGAGGCCAGAGTGCTACCAACCGAACCAGGCTAATACATAACCTATACACATTACACAATACCTGAACTTACGTAACTCTCGGGTTGAGCATTTTTGTATCCACTTTTGAAGAGCCACACTATTTCACTGCAGTTTACCAGTTATACATTTCACAGGTGATTCACTTCAGTATTTTTCAGTCCAATTATTTACATCTGTTGGATCCTGTCACAGTAACTTAAGTGCAGATAAACAGAATATATCTGCAGTCACCGCAACCCATGTGTGATAACACTGTTCGTTATACCAATCATAATATAGATCTACACATTGCACCTGTAGCTAAAAAAAATTTTTAGAATAGACAAGAGAATGCCAGATAATCAATTGATCAATATACTTTGGGTTTACAGTTCAAGGTTACCTTGGGCAAGTTTTCTTACTCCATACCCCTGATAATAATCCCTCAAAAAAAAACAATAATAATTTGGTCACTCAATCCATGACTGTTTGTGGGACACTGCTGTGCGCAATTGGCTACTGTGTTTCGCCCACAAAATATACAGTTAATTCACTTTACAGTATATTCTGTGAAGCACTTTGAGACGTCTAGAAGACGTGAAAAGCGCAATATCAAATGCAAGGATTACTATTATTATTATTATATAAGGTTAGGAACAGCTTGCTGTACAATTGCTAAGATGCTGTCCCTTCGTTGCAAAGGACATGTCAAAGTTAAATAGATTCAATCAATGAAGAGAAGCAGGAAATTGATTCACATTTGCAAATAAAAGCTCAGTAAAAATAGTGCCTAGAAGGACCTCTTAGTAAGCTCTGAGATGCTACCCTGCGTGGAGAGCCCTATATAAGTGCGAGTTGTTGTTATTGTTCGTAAATCAAGAGGATATTTTCTGAGAACCTAGACTGGGACTGAACCTGTTAAATTTTTCCTTTATTGTCAAAGACAATCTTGAAACATCAGCAAACAAGATTCAGTTGACAACAAAGCGTTCGCTTGCTGAGAGCAGTCAGCGGCAGGCACACACGCTCTTTACACTTAGAGGGCTTAGTGCATCCAAAAACACACATTAAGAGCCTTTGGTTATATGGGTAAAACATTTCATGGTTTTAAAAATCATCTGCCTACATTTTCCACCGTGATCCGATCAGACAGTCTGGACTCCATCCCTAAATTTGCCCAAGACATTCTGGAGTGTGGACATGCTCCATGTGGCATAGCACATGCAGTTTTGATGACATGGGTCAGAAGTGGCACTTCACAAAGGTTGCTGCAGCCCCATTATCTCTTACGCTTGCTCTTTCAATCTAGAAACAGAACAAGTCATCAACTGAGGTTTTACTTAGGACGTAGATTCAGCTTCCGTCTTCAACCCAAATCTCCTTCCAAGCGAGGTCAACACTCGATAGAACTCAAATGACCACATGAACTGCATCAATATGCTTAATGTATGTACAGCTACTACATGATTTGCAACAACATGATCTGCGATGCACAATAAACCAAGAGTAAATTTCGCACAATTCAAAACAAAAGTTAAAGGAAAATTAAATTAAAAATTAACTTAAGGTGCAATGGATTCATTAACCTCCTCAGGTTTCTCTAAAGTCACTGGGCCATTGGAAATTTCAACCACATGCAGTATTTGATACTTTAAATCCCTTCTTCAAATCAAATGTATTGTTAGCTATAATAATTATCCTTGCATTTGATACAGCACCTTATCACATCATTGAGATGTGAGATGTCTCAAAGTGTTTTGACATAAAGTGTAGTGACCGTTTATTTTGTAGACAAACGCGGCAGCTAATTTGTACTTAGCAATGCCCCGAGAGTGAACGATCAATTTTATCTGGAGGATTGTTGGTCAGGACACTGGGAGAAATTCCCTTCTCCTTTCGCGCAGTGCAATGGGATCGTTAACGTCCACCTGAACAGGCATAGACAAGACCTCCGTTTACCGCCTCATCCAAAGAACAGCTTAGAATGCATGTCTCGTCACCAAAGTATGTGTTTTCAGAATCGGTTGGCAAGCCTACACAAAACATTTTACTCTGCATTTGGCAACAGAAAACGAAAACACAGACACAAGATAAAAATTAAGTACAAGAAGTGTATTTATATTTATACACAACACCAGAATATTCCTGTTTTATTTACAGTTACATACATTGTTATTGATTTTGTAGAAAAAAATTGAATAAAATGAAATAAATGAAATGATAAATTAACAAAAAAAATCACCAAGTACCATCAGAGTATTTAAAAGCTGTAACTTTTTAAAACATTTTCATTATAAACAATGAATACAAAATGTTCCTTTTTTTTGCATTTAATTGTACACGTTTTATTTCAGACAATAGCACATGACATCACCAACAAAACAAAAACATTAAACCTGAGATAAAAGGCTTTTGAAGACACATAGAATAAGGGGGGGGAGGGAATGATGGGAAAGGGAATGCTTCCTTATAGGGTATGAGACAGAACATACTAATCGCATGGACCAGAGCTGTAGCTATGTTCCATGACATTCTCAGTTACGCCACACGAAACAAGACGTCAAGTGGCCAAGCAATAGTCTCTTCAGCAGATCGGTATGCTCTCCTGCTGATTTTTATGGGAATACGAATAATGCTTAGAATATAGTTTTTGGTAAACACATTTCTCAAGGGTTATTGGAAGAATGACCAACGCTATACTGCACATACCAAAAGCAGAGAGAGAGAGAGAGAGAGAGTACTCGACGCTAAACTTATTTCAAACATCAGTCTCCACGAGAGCATCAAGCAACCACAGCTCAGATATGGAGATGGGTCAGTTAGGATACTCAGCTGTCTGGGTTCGGAGTTAATTGTGTACTTCAAAGGTTAACTTTGTGCGATGGGTACATGGCATTGCTTTGTTCCCCTCCTCTCTCCCCCCCATCCTCTCCCATTGAATCATTCATGTTATGGTCTTACTGAGACATCTTCACGTACTAATGATTAGCCAATATAGACTCAAAGACTACTGGGAGCTGGAATAAAATGACCAGAAACAAAAGAGAATACTCTCACCTCCTAAAACGAGAGCAAGTATTTCTCACTCTCTGGCCTGGATCTGAATCCAGGTGGCAGTATTGAAAGCAGGGTGATTAAACAATGTTCCACCCTTTCAACCAAACATTTTCCTCCACGATTACTTTTCGAGATGTTCGACACACACTGAAGCCCAGCGCCATACTTAAAAAGCTTCCCAACCAAACAAACGAGTTCCAGATCCGTAGGGTTTACGTTTGTCAGATGTGCAGGACACATTCTCTCCCGGGGGGAACGCTCCCCTAACTCACCAAATCCCGGAGATTAGGTGCAAATTGGCAAGAGCCAAGCTCCAGGGATCTCAAGAGTGTGCTTTAAAAGTTACCACTGGAGTTTAATTGGCTAAGACCCTGCAGCTTGGATTTGAACTCAAGCAAAGAGGTGAAAAAGTAGCATTTGAACTCATGTTATGAATACAACATTCAAACATGACCTTAAATTGCAAGACTCTTCGATCGACTCTACCATTGCAAACCACTTCATCAGTCGTCAGTAAGTTTACTCCATAAACCTTATCCGCATCTATAAAAAACTGTGAAGTCACATTCCCCTTTCCCTAACCCACATTCCAAATATATAATAGTTTGAACAATAAAAGTACCTATGTTTTACTGGAAGTTTTTCCTCTAATGGTGATATTCGGACCATGTTCAAGCTAATGTATTTTTTAAAAAATCCAATTCTGAATATCTTTACAAGAAAAATATCAACAATTCAAACACTTGGCAAAGTACTAGAAGTGATAAACTGCAGAAACAAAATGTCCTTGGTTATAAGCTTACATTTGGGGTTACTGCTTTGTGTTCTGTTTTGAGGAGAGACATTTTAAGTTGCTCTTTATTCATAGCGGTTACTTCAGTTAGGAATGTACAGGACTCGGTCAATCCAACAGTGTAGACAAAAACAGATTTGAAAGACAAGTCTAGGTTCTAGCGAGTTCCAAGTTAGTGGAGAAACAGCTGAAGAAGAGACTTGGGGGGTGGGGGGGAAAATCGGTGAAAAGAGAAAGATTGAGGCAGAGACAGAAAGATAGACAGACAGACCACCTGCTCTGACCAGGTAAACTACTCTCTGATCACAGAGTTCATGCATTCTTAAACTGGACCTCACTGACTCAAATTACAGACTTAATTAATGCTAGAAGCCCAGGGTTACCAGTTGCCAGTCAGTTACTGCAAACAGTGATTTTCTCAAA